GGCTCACTGTGGCTCACTGTGGCTCAGTGTGGCTCAGTGTGGCTCAGTGTGGCTCAGTGTGGCTCACTGTGGCTTACTGTGGCTCAGTGTGGCTCAGTGTGGCTCAGTGTGGCTCAGTGTGGCTCAGTGTGGCTTGCTCCTCCTTCTCTGGAGCCTTACGGTGGGAGCTGGGCCCGCGACCCTCAGTGCCATGACGAGTTGCTGTGACTCCCGGCCGGTGCTTTCCCAAGCTTCGGTCCCGACGTCCGAAGGTCCCTCCCGCTCTCTCTTGAGGTCCTGCCACCCTGAGGAGTGCAGCTCCGTTTCCTCGGACCCGGGTTTCCCGGGTTTTCTGTTATTGGTTTTAGTTTCATCCTGCGGTGGCCAGAGCACTCGCTTGTCTTCTTCTGTCCTTTGGAGCCTGGGAGGTTGTCTTCGGCCTGGCCCACCTTCTGTCCCCGACAGTGTCTGTCCAGGACAGAAGCTGTGTCCTCCTGCGGGGAGGGACGCTGACAACCGTCAGAGCACCCAGGCCGTCCAGGGTTCAGGCCCTCTTCCTGGTGGACCCTCTGCCTGGCCCAGCCACTGCCGAGGCCCGAGCGACCAAGTCCTTAGCCGGTGCTGCCTCACGCCCTTCCTGTTGGCCCTGCTTGCTGTCACCATGTTGTCACTGCCCGTTTGTGGACATTCGCTCTGTTGTCCTGAGGCTCTCCTGACCTACGAGGCGCCTCTTCATCTCCAGCAAGACCTCGCCTCGGGAGTGGACCCTCCCTGCCAGTCCACGGCCACCACGGCTGCCCTGCGGCTGCTGTCTGTATCACACACTCACGCTCACTCACATAACACTCACGTACAAGCTCACACACGCACACTCACACACACGTACTCACAAGCTCACACTCGCATATGCACACAGCCACACACACACATACAAACACACATGCACACACTCACATGCACAATAAGCTCATGCACTCACAAGCACAAGCATGCACATGCACAAGCATGCACATGCACACACACATGCATGGTCACACATAAGCACACACATGCACCCAGACACATAAGCTCACACACTCACATGCACTCATGCACATGTGCATACACGAACACACAACATGCACAGTCATGCACAAGCACACACACACTCACATGCACACACACGCGCACACACACGTGGACACACCTTGCTGTCCTTGTTGGACTTGGCTTCACGTTTGAGTCCCCCGTGCGTGTGGAAAGCATCTGGTGGAATCCTGATTTTAGAAATCGGCTCCGACAGTCTCTCACTTGATTCGATTCTTGAGTCACAATTCCGTATTCACACATTTACCTACTTACTAACTGCTCTGTAGCGCTGTCCGTCAGGGGTGCTGTCCTGGTGGTCCGGGTGCCCTTCCGCATGCGTGTCTTAGCCGGGGTGGGCAAGGTGGCTGCCTGCCCCGGCCTCTGTGTGGTCTGTTCAGCGTCATATTCTCCCGTTTCCGTGCACTTTGGAAGGTCTTTCTTACTTATTTCCCTCCGGTGGTTTTGCTGTCTCCATGGCCAGGGGCACAGTAACGGCAGCCGGTGGTTCCAAGGCGAAGGGCTGCGTCTGCCGGAGGGGCTGTGTTACCTCTAGGCTGGCACGTGCCCCGGCGGGTCCCTGGGGATGGGTACAGCAAGGTCCCCTCCTGGGAAGCCCATAGTGTGGCCGTGCTTGCAGGGCCCAGCCTGGTCCTCCTGGCGTGGTGGCCCAGTGTTTGGGACTCGGCGCTCAGTGCCAGCATGCGGTCGGCGGGCACTGACCCTGACAGCTTGGCTCCCCTGTGTCCACAGGGGACGGCTTGTCCCCACGGGCCTTGTGTGGCTCTTGACGTCTGTGCTGAGAGTCTCACGGCGCCTCTCCACGTGCCCCCTGGTGGCCACACACCTGCTCATTCTGACTCACCTGAGCCAGCCTCGGTCCGCAGTGGCCCGTCCCCGCGACACGGTCCCGCCGTCCATCATGGTGGCCTGGTGGTGTCGCGCCCGCCAGCCCTGCCATGGTCGTCGCTCTACCAAAGCTGTGACTTCTGAGGAACCTGAGGGGACCAGGGTGGACGTGCCTGTGGCCGGGTCCCATCAGGCCTGCTCCACCCTTCTTCCCTGGACTTGAGCTGGCCCTGCCCGGCTCCCACTGCCCCACGCGCCTCCTTGAGCCTGGCGTCACACACGTGCTAGCCGTGTTTAGGCCACCCACATGGCCCACGCTCTGATCCACGGGCCTTTTAGTAAGTGGGGACAGGAGGGGGCAGGCGTGTCCGTCTGCCCCTGGTGACCTGGAGCGGCCTCCGTCACCACGTCTTGGCTCTCACCTGGGGAGTTCCCTGCCGTCACCTCTCAGCCTGTCCCTTAGGGACTATGACCAGCCAGCTGGTGGCCTTTGGTGACCTGGGGGTCTTCACTCTGCCGCCGTGTCTGAGGGAGGGCTCCGAGGGCCAGGCTCTTGGTGGGTGGCGCCCTGAGAGCTGGGCCTTCCGGCCTCCCGAGCCTGGGGAGGAGCCCACTCCCCTGCGTCCCTCCCTGGCTCCCGCTGCTCTGGGGCCCTGGGACTTGTCTTTGGGCGTTTTCTGGGTTTGTCTGTGGATCTTCTGGGTGTGACCGCCTTGGCCCTTGGCGTCCTGGGCGAGCAGTCGGCGTTTTTATGGGTCCCGCCGGCTCTGCCTTCTGACCTGACTCCGCAGATCTGCACCCGCGGAGGCAGAGAGGCCCGGCCTGCAGCCCGCTGGCCCCCAGCAGCCCGTGGAGCCCTGGGCCACATCGGCAGACTGCGGCCAGCATCACTGGGCCTGCCCTGGACACTTCAGACGTGGCAGAGTAGCAACCATGGCATGAAGAGCCGGGGCCCATGACCAGAGCTCGGGGTGCTTGTCGGTCCTGAGCACTGGACGTGGTGGCCACCCCAGCCAGCAGCAGCCACAGGAAAAGGCCCCTGTGCTCCCAGACACGGCCACTAGATACTGGGTGTGTGTCCCGAGGGGACGGGAGCTGCCCGCCTGGTGTTGTGGCGGCAGGGTGCTCACGGAGATGAGCCATGTCCTCTGCACGGGGCTGCAGGAGCCTGATTCCTGCTGAGGAGGACTGTCCAGGCCCAAGGAGAGGGGCTGCAGAAGTGGAGGCCCAGCCCTCAGAGTCCCCCTCATGTGCTGGGCCTGCCTCTGCTGCCCGCTGCCCGCAGCCCCAGGAAGACTTGCCCTCAGGCCTGCCCCGGAGACCAGCAGGCGTAAGCCCGCCCCAGGCTCCCTGGCCGCCAGCAGCACCAGCTCCTGCGTGGGCCGGGCCAGGCGCCGAGTGGACCTGTGCAGAGCAGGGCACCCGCAGCGCCTCAGGCCCAGACCCTGGGGCCTTAAGCCCACCCTCCCAGAGGGGGAACGTCTGTGCTCAGAAAGGAGCACTCCAAAGGGACAGGGCTCTGGGCCCCAGAGGGCCACTGCCTGCCACTGTCCCTGCACGAGGGCCCTTGGGCACCATCAAAGCATCTCCGCTGGTTTCCTCCAGGGACAAACACAGCTCAGGACCGCGTGCACACGCTGGCCCGGGCACGCAGAGACGCAGCCTGGCGCCAGGCCACAGCAGGAACAGGAAGTCTTCCCTCTGCCTGGCCAGGGGACAAACAGCAGGAGTATAAAGGAGGGAGCCGCGGCCACTCACCCACATTCACCCACCCACACGCCCACACACCCACACACCCTCCTCCAGCACACCCAACATGGCCGCCTCCACCATGTCCGTCTGCTCCAGCGACCTGAGCTATGGCAGCCGCGTCTGCCAGCCCGGCTCCTGCGATTCCTGCCCCGACTCCTCCTGGCAGGTGGACGACTGCCCAGAGAGCTGCTGCGAGCCCCCCTGCTGCGCCCCCAGCTGCTGCCAGCCCAGCTGCTGCGCCCCAGCCCCCTGCCTGTCCCTCCTCTGCACCCCAGTGAGCTGTGTGTCCAGACCCTGCTGCCAATCAGTCTGCACCAGCTCCTGCACCCCCTCCTGCTGCCAGCAGTCTAGCTGCCAGTCTGATTGCTTCAGCTGTTCCCCTTGCCAGCCGTCCTGCTGTGTGTCCCTCTGCTGCAAGCCCGTCTGCTGCAAGCCCGTGTGCTGTGTGCCCCTCTGCTCTGAGGCTTCCTCCTCCTGCTGCCAGCAGTCTAGCTGTGAGCCCTCTTGCTGCTCCTCTTCCCCCTGCCAGCAGTCCTGCTGTGAGCCC